GATCACGTTAGCCTCTTCCAAGTCTGGCCACACCCCGCGCGCACTCCACGGTGCCGGCTTCAGCCACCTTCATGGCTGTTGGAATAAATTGTTCTCATCTGCTCGTCCCGCGGGAGGAAGTCTTCACATGCTTGGGTAGACACCCCTTAACTCACCGACAGGTTTGAGGCTTGTCACCTCAACCTGGTTTAGCCTGTCTGCCAAGACAATTTACTGGGATGTGGCCACTGCGCATGCTACAGCTTCTTGGAGCCACAGGCGTGAGCTGAGTGCCAGGAGGACACCAAAGGTGGATGAGCAGCCCCGAAAAAGGCTCAGCAGCCTCCCCACCAGAGGTGCTGGTCCTCCTTAAACATACACCTGTACCAGAGCAGTGGCAGAGGAGAGGTATCAGAAGAGATGAAGGAATATATTTGAGAGATGTTGCGGAGGAGTGATGAATATTGGTTTTAGCAACAGATTTAATACGAGCAGTGTGAGAGATGGTGATGAGTTGAGATGATACCTAATAGCTTGCAAACCTGGGGGACTGGGAGGTGCCCTTGACAGTACTAGGGAAATTTGGCAGGAAAGGGAAGTGTTTAAAGGGAAAGATAATGAGCTCAGTTTTGGACATGTTGAGTTTAAGATGTCTAGGAGACATTCAGTTCAAGACACCTTACAGGCAGTTGGAGAAATGAGACTGGAGGTCAGCAGAGAGGCTAGGGCAGAATAAATAGATTTGAGGAGATGAAAATAGAATCCAAGGGAGCTGACGAGATCATCGAGTGAAATGCCTCAGAAGGGGAAGAGAAGAGGAGCCAGGACAGATCTCTGGAGAACATCAGTGGTTAGCAGGCATGACCTGGGTGAAGATCCAGTAAAGGAGACTGAGGAGGAGAAATAGGAGGAGAACCAGGGGAAAGCAGTGTCCCAAAGACCTAGAAAGAAGAGAGTTATCAAGGAGAAAAAGGTGATGGACAAGTGTCAAGGGTGGCAGAGAGGTCAAGAAGGATGAAGATTGAGAAAAAACCATTGGATTTGCCAATTCATAGATCACTGGTGACTCTGGAGAACAGGGTTTCAGTAAAATGAGGAAGTTGGAAGCCAGATTGTAGGGAGTTAAGAGGATGAGAGGAGAATACATGGAAGCATCTATTGTAGACAGCCTTCTCAGTTGATTGACGGGAAAATGTTATCTTCTGTAGAAAAATCTGTGAGAACCTACCTCCTCCCTTCTCATATTTTCATCAAGGATACTCTGAATAAGTGTGTTGACCATTCCATTCTTTTAAAGAGTTTTATGGAGATAAGACAATAGGTCTATGGCTTGGTAGTTGCCAATATCTTCTCAATCACATTCTTGTAATACTGCCTTTTTGTTTCTTTTCTTTTGCTAATCTCCCTTCTTTGATTTATTACAAAACTTAATTTTTCAGTGTTTGGAAAATATGCTACCTCCAGTACAGTACTTCTTAGTATGTTCTCAGTCTGGTCCAGTCTCCCTTCCCAACTTCATTTCCTTAAAAACTACATATAAATTGGGTACTTACGTGTTAAAGTCCAAATACGGTGGTACTGCTGTCATCAGTGACGAAAATAGATCACTATAGAAACTATAACAAACCCATTCCATTTTTGTATCTTTCTGGATTTTGTCCATCTTCCAGTTATATCTATAAATGTTCTTGGGATGATTTGACTTAATAGAATCTCATACTTTCTTCAGACTTGTTTTCCTTTCCACTTACTTTATTAAGCAATAATGCTCCTATTTTATGGTATTCTCAGTAATACCCTGCCAATGAGCTTGTCTTCTAAACCACTGTTGCCCTTGGCTACCACGTCTCTCTGTTTAGCAAGGAGGGCAAGGATTTCCTGGAAGAGAGGCAATCTCTGGGCCTTTTTACTTTGGTAACTACAGTGGTTGAATTTCCATAAGAAAGGGTGATAATTGTTACCAATGCATATGTTCGGATGTTTGGAGAATTTCGAGAAGTACTTTGCAGAATTTCCCTGCTGAATATTATCTTCCTCTTCTTTTTGCAGAGATGGGGGGGGACTATTGGTCTGGAACAATATACATACTTTTGGTTTTGTTGATATGGTAGTTAGATTTGCTGAGCATGTGTTAGTTTTTTGAGATGCAAAAACAAAAGATATCAATAACTTAAAAAAAAAAAGATTTCTCTACTATTTTGTCCCCTGATGCCTAAGTTAGCACATAAGCTACAAGCGGCACTTTGGACCACTCTTATTTGTCATGAGCATTGCAAGATGACCAAGTATCCCATGGAATGATGTTCTTCATTGCCTTGGGGCCCACAATGAAACCAACTCCATCATGTCTTCACTTGCCTCTTCCAAGGAGAATCTGAGTCATCACTCTATTTGACCTTAACTTTGCATCTTCTGGTTTCATTTATAGTGAGATTGTCCTTATTGATATGGCAACTGAGCCATGTGACTAGCAATATGGCAGAACAGATACTTGTACAAACCTTTTCGACTCAAAGACTTTTAAAAAAAAAAGAATTGTGTGCCAGAGATAGGGCGATTACAGCTGATTCCACAAGATAAGAAGACAGAACACCTTGCACTATTTACAAACCATTTGAGTTTATATCTGAGCACTTGAATACTGAAGAGCTCTTCTTCAGTGCCCCTCCTCCGTTCAACTTCACATGCTCACCACAAATAATACAAGGAAACTCACAGGCTTGTGCCTGGGGAGGGCCTGGCCATATGGATCTCATATTCCTTTAGTGATTTTGCCCAACACTGTCCCCTACCCCCACCCAACTCTGCAAAGAAATGACAGACACTGATTCTGCAGAAACTGGAGAGTATTTGGTGATGCATGTGAAGTGCTCAGAATTATAGGCTGAGGGAAACAAAGCATTGGGCCTGAGGCAAAGGAGACTAGAAAAACTACCTGGGGTCAGTCATCTCTCACAGATTCTCTTTTTTTCCTGTAGTTTATTTTTAAAATTTATTTAGTATTCTATTTTTCCCCAGTTACATGCAAAAACAATTAAAAATTTTTTTAAAACTTTGAGCTCCAAATTCTCTCCCTTCCTCCCCAACCCACTCCCACCTGCATTGAGAAGGCAAGTAATTCAATATTGGTTATGTATGTGGTCATGCAAAACAATTCCATAATAATCACTGATGGGGTGATGGGACCTGGACCCATGTCTTTGAAAGCAACCCAGTCCCTGAATTTTCCCATACATTTCAGCAGCCCAGATCTCAAGTCTCTCAGCATCTCTCCCAAGGCAACTGGCCCACCCCAGCCTACCTATATATTTGATAGTCCTTTCACCACCCTCTTGGCCCATCCTAGACTATTTACCATTCCTTTATCCCATCTAGATCCTTTCACTGTTGCACCTGGCCCACTCCACTGCTACTGACCACTCCTTAATCCTGTCCATATCTTCTCACTATCCTTTTTTTGTACATAAGTATTGGTCTTGCCCCATTTAAGTTGCAGATTCACTAGGAATCTAGCTCTATTGGCCCTAACCTTGCCACTTTGACTGGCAGAAGGCTTGAGTGCGTGGATTCTTTCCGGCTGGACATTGCCCTGTACCCTGACATTTCAGAGGTTCCCAGCAACCCCAAACTGCATCAGTCATGTTGTGAAAGGAAACAGACAAGAAAAAAAAAACCCTCAAGAAAAATGAAGTAAAAAAAAAGTATGCTTCAATCTGCATCCAGATGTCATCAATTCTTTCTCTCTCAGAGACCCGAGGGCAGTGACCCGAGCCAGCTAACTCCTATATTTCCTAGTGTGAGGAAGCTGACAACATGAGTAGTCCAGCCTTGGGGAGTCATGCACCAGTGAAAGGAGTAGGCCAAAGTAGTGATAGGAATAGGGCATAAAAGAAAAAAGCCTGAAATGCCAAAAAACGTGAAGAGAAAAAAACCTTAACAAAAACCTAGTACACAAACAGATAAATCAAGAGGAGCCTAAAGACAGGAAAAAGAAGGTGTGAAACCTTAAAGAGAAACCAAAGCATTTTAAGCAAATATGATCGTGGAGGAACTTGAACAATGACCTGGGATGAAAGAATCCTGTGGACCCTCAACAATCTGAAGAAACTCTAGAGTGGTTCAGTTCTTCTAGAGCAGGGGTGGGGAACCTGCTGCCTCGAGGCCACGTGTGCCCTCTAGGTCCTCAAGTGGAGGCCACGCGTGGCCTCCAGGCCGCAGATCCCCCACCCCTGCTCTACAGTCTGTTAACTCTTTGGTTGTTAGGCAGAGATCTCAGGTAGAGGGTACCAATGTCAATGGTGTTGATGGATAGTTTAAAAAACTGTGATTCCCCTTTCTCTGCTGCTCCAGCACCTTCACAATGTAAAAAGGGGGTCTCTGCATGGACTGTGGGCCGTGTTGGATTTTTCTCCATTTTGACATGGCCCCAGATTTCATCCTCTCTTGTCTGGTGATGTCCTCTAGCAGCAGGTTGCCATTTGCTAGGACCATATTTTTCCAACTTTGAGGGAATCTTCCAAAACTTCTCTGGCAAAAATTGGTGTGCCTCTGAGAACCCAGGGTCGCCTCCATACCACAGACACATTGGAGGAGTAGGATTCTGGCAGAGCTGTTTGTAAAATGGGAATAATAATTCCTGCCCATCTTACTTCACAGGGGTGGTATATATAGTAAGGATGGAATAAGAATACTTTCTAACATTTTTTTTTTTGCTTTTTGGTGAGGCAATCAGGGTTTAGTGACTTGCCCACGGTCACACTGCCGATAAGTGTCAAGTGTCTGAGGCCGGATTTGAACTCAGTTCCTCCTGACTCCAAGGCTGGAGCTCTATCCACTGTGCCACCTAGCTGCCCCATCTTTCTACCATTTGTATAATGCCTTAAAGATTTCAAAATTCTTGCACCTCCATTGTATCACCTGGCCTTCACAGCAGCCTTGTGATGTAGGCGGGGTAGATGTTACTATACTGATGAGAAATGAGCCTGAACTTTTTTTTTCTTTAAACGAAACAAGACAAAGGGTTGTTATTGATATCTCTTCTCTTTACATCACTGACATTTCTTCCCATGTGGATCCTCATCCACTTGTCCAGAGGGCCACCCCTTATTAAAGAAAGAACGAAAAAAAATCAGCAAAACAATTCACACATCAAAAAAAAAATCTGATGTTAGATGCAGCGCTCCGTGCCCACAAATCACACATCTTCAAAGGAGCTGGTGGATGTCCTGGGCCGTCTTTCCCCAAATATGGCTGATACCAAATGTTGGTATGGAATAAGGTCATAAAATATAAATATCCTAGAATGGTGCTGTGATTAGCTTTGGTCTACCTGCCTAGGAAAAGGGAAGGGGTATGGCATTGACACCTTACATTCACCAGCCTTTGGCACCTCCGACTCTCAACACCTGAATGTGGGGCTAGGCACCATGATCATAGGATCAGATTACAGATCTGGAACTGAAAGGGACCTCAGATACCATTTAGCCCAACCCCCTCATTTTAGGGAACAGAAAACTGAGACCCAGGGAAGTTATGTCTGCCCAAGGTCATTCAGTCAGTAAACATATGAGGTAGGTTTTGAACCCAGGACCCCTAACTCCAGAGCCAGTATGCTTTTCTACTGTGCTACTTACTGGTCTTTGTGGATGACAATGGTGCTCACTACTTTAAGTCTTAGAGACTCTCCTATTTGTTAGTGGGGGTAGCTCCTGAGTCTGCCTAACTTTCCCACTCTACTCCTCACCTCAACCATCCAAACTTTACAGTAAATATACATATCTATATCTATCTATCTCAATGTGGCAGTTACATACAATTATTATTATTATTATTATTATTATTATAGGCAATTGGGGTTAAGTGACTTGCCCAGGGTCACACAGCTAGTAAGTGCCAAGTGTTTGGTCTGAGGCCGGATTTGAACTCAGGTCCTCCTGACTTCAGGGCTGGTGCTCTATCTACTGTGCCACCTAGCTGCCCCAGTTATATACAATTATTAAGCACCTACTATGCAAGGCCTTTCCCGGGTCTCACTTTGAGTGAGGCAATGCCCATCCAGTGAATATGTCCCTTCAATCAAAAACAAAAAAAATAAAAAAACAAAAAGAGCAAACAAATGGAGGGGAAAGGTTGTTTCTGGACAAAAGAGAAACAATTAGTACTTACATTTCACTCTGAGCCATCTGGGCCTAAAAAAAACCCATTAAGTGGTGCTTGGGCAGGGACCTATTGTTGGCCAATCAATGAGACCTACAGTGAATTGGGTTTCAGGGGAGGTCTTTAAGAAAGAAATCTAGCCAGTAAACCCCGAGATACCTAGGTAGGTTTCAGGCATCAAAACTTACCTTCCTTTGGACAGAGCACCCTCAGGTCCAAGGGCATGATACCTCATGTGGGGAGAGGAGGGGAAAGGAGAGGAGAGGAGGGGAGGGGAGAGAAGAGGAGGGAAGGGGAGAAGGGAGAGGAGTTGACCAACAGGAACCGGATCCCCACTGGGGCAGCTGGGCCTACTCACAGGTTGTGGTTTGTCCTTCATTCTCAATGAGCACCATGACATCAGGGAGATGACATGACTCGCAATTGAATTGGATGACAGTGAGGCAGGGCTGTGCAAAGTCACCAGCCTCACTTTCTCCTCCAGAGCCATTTGGGTCCAGTGACCAGATAGAGATCACTCAAAGTGAGAACTCGGGAAGACCTTAGCTTGAAAAGGCCAAGGTCCCCCACTGCATCCTGGGCCATCTCTAGGTCATCCTGATCTATACCTGGCCACTGGACCCAGATGGCTATGGGGGAGAAAGTGAGGCTGCTTGCACAGCCCTGCCTCACTCAAATCCAATTCAATTGCAAGTCATGCCATCATCTTTCTGATGTCACTCAAAGGACAAACCATAATCACAATTATGCAAGGCTGTGTGCTAAGGAGCAAGGAACATAAAACACTCTAAGGACCACAAAGGGCTTTGTTCACAACAAGCCTGTCTTCTAGGCATTTACAATCTGCTGGAACTATAACTAGGGCAGGGCTATAAGGGCTAAGTCCCAAGGCTGTGAAATTTAGCAAGTGCCAATAGCACTTGTAATCCTTCAACAGCTAGCAATAACTGGGCTTATTATCCCTTATTAGCAATATTAGTTAAACCAAAGAGCTCCAACAGCCCCCTCTCCTCAGGTGACCACTTCTCAGACCAGTTCCTGCTACACATCAAACTCACTAGCTTCCAGAAGAGTGGCATAGCGGTGACCCTGAGTTCCTCCTCCTGTATCTTCTGCAGGGTTCAAGCACAGCAGGCACTTACTAACCATGTTGGTTTTTATTAGGTGCTGAATTCTTTTTCCAGCCCAGCAGCCCGTGAAAGCATGAGGCAGAGAGGGGTTTTGATGTTCATGGTGGTAAGTTGTTTAAATGTTTAATCATAATTTTTTGGAGAGGAGAGACAGTCAGGACCTGTGATTTCATCTATGTGAGGCCCTCCCAGTCTGGAAACTCCCTCTACCAATGCAGAGCAGAAACTCTGCTGAAACTTAAAAGTCTTAGTTTCCTAGAGCACTGAGAAGTTAAGGGACTTATCCAAGGCCTTAGAGCCACCATGTGTCAGAGGTAGGATTTGAACCCAGTTCTCTTTGGCTTCAAAGGCAGCTCTCTATCCATGATGTCATGCCATCTCTCTCCTGTATATTTTAGCCAAGTGAAATCAAAGAATGGTATTGAACAACCCACCTAAGTGATTAGATTATATTCGTGCTTCCTTCCAAATTTGGCAGAAGATTTATGGCCTTCTGTTTAATTTTCTGTTTTCTCCAGTTGCATGTCAGTTACTGTTTTGCCCTGGTCTCACTGGTCTTACTTTTGCTTCCACGTCTTCCTGGATTTCCTTGGATTTTTCACATTTATTGTTTTTATGGCCCCATAATGTCCTGTTATGTAAATACAAGAGAGTTTTTAAAGCCATTCTCCATATATTGGGTATATAGATTGCTTCTTCCTGCCTTCCCCCCATGCCTAATAAAATTGGAAGCCCCTTTGAAGCATCTCCCAATGTCATTTATGGGAGACTTTTCAGTTTGGTTCAATTTAATACTCATGCCCATCACTGAACTCAGTATGCCACAAGTCTAGACATCTTCAGCTTTTTCAGGCCCAAGGATAAAGCCAAGGCACCACTGATTCCCTAGCCAGGAATTGGAGAGAGGACCCTGGGTAGGCCTGGACTGAGGTCATAATCATCATCTGTGATCTCATCATCAGCTGATACACATGCATGATTTGGGAACTGAGGAGGCCAACACCTTTGTGGGAACCCAACCAGGTGGCTTCCTGCCTTATTGTCTGGAATTTGAAGTACTTTTCTACACTCACCAATGAAGTAATAGATATTAGCATATCGTGGGTCACTCTGCTGCTCAAAATCCTTCTGTAGCTCCCCTTTACCTAGAACATAGGCGTTAGAGACTCCCTTGCTTGATGTTTGAGGTTCTTCATACTACAGCTCCAAACCACCTTTCTGACTCTCTCAAATGCTGTTCCATTTGGTAAGATCTTAGTCTTAGGTGTAGGGTTTACAGACACCTAAGAGGTCAGCTAATTCAACCTCTTTATTTTACAGATGAGGAAACTGAGTCCCAGAGAGGTCAGAGAATCATAGCTTTAGAGTTGTAAGGGACATTAGAGTCCTTCATATCCAACCCCTTTATTTTACAGATGAGAAAACTGAGGCCCAGGGAGGTTGTTACTTTCCCAAGGTCATAGAGGTAGGATCTGAACCTGGGTCTTTCTGACTCCAGATCCAGGGTGCTCTCTACTAAGCCTTGATGCTTCCTTCCTAAATGCCACAGTCCAGATAACATTGTCTTGCCCTGTTTGGCCTCCAGGGATTCCCACAGGCTATCCCTTCTCTCTCCTATTTGCTGTAGCACCTCAGGTAGCAATCCCAAGCTAGGGAGAATGGGACCTGTGTTTCTGCGGGCAAGTTTATTAGTTACTTAAACAATAAAGGCCTAGCTTTGGATTCAGGGTCCAACACTAACTGTGACTTTGAGCAAGTCTCAGTCTCCCCATTAAAGGTATAATCCTGGTGCTGATGCCTACCTTATAGAGTGGTTGTGAGGAGAGTTTTAGACCTGAAGATCCTATGGAAATGAGGGTGATTGTGAGAGGCACTGCAAATAGAATGCTGAACTTAGAGCCATAGGATGTCCTGGATTCAAATCCTGCTTCTGATACATTAGCTCTGTGATCACCGTCCTCTCTGAGGCTCAGGCCTCTTTCTAAGGCTTATCCACTAAGTTATAGATAGATAGGAGAAGCTCTCACCTCTGTTCTTCAAAGAAGGTCTTTCCATCTCCTCTCCTATGCCATTACAGAGGCTGCCCACCATGTCTAGGAACGTCCTCCTTCCTTCTCCCCAATTCATAGAAACTCTCACTTCAAGACTCAGACCAAGCTCTGCCTTCTCGAAGCCTTTCTTATCCCTCCTGTGCCCCCCAGTTGTTAGTGCCCTCCCTCTCAAGCAATAACTGCAAACATTCTATCCCCTGATAGAACGGAAGCTCCCTGAGGGCAGGGACAGTCCATTTCCTCATGGGAAATGGAGAATTTCTCCCCTTCAGCCAAAGGTAACTCCTCTGAACCCTCCAGATGGCTTGTAGTCATCCTAGGACACACACCTTATACTTTAGGGTCGTTCGGGTTTGGGTTTTGGCCCCAACAGCAATTTCATCAGGAGGAAACCTTCAGTGAGGAAATCAGGGGATCCGTCCACACCAGTCCCACGTGTGGGTCCCATGTCGGGAGCTGGTGACAGGGAGACAAAACTGAGACATTGCCCCGCCCCCGGAGCTATGGGGTTGGCCCCTGTTGGTACCACATCAGTTCTGTCTAGAACTCTCTGTGTTTGAGTCCTTAGTAGCCTGGTGCCCTGGGTCAGAGTACACACCTGTATGGCTGTAGCCAGCTAGTGGAGTTAATGATGGTGGGAGTGGGGAGGCAGGGGGGAGAGAAAACAATTCTCTATGCTCTTCCATCAGCATCTGTCCCTCCTTCAGAAACAAACAAATAAAAAAAAAACCCAAAACACTGGCTCTAGAGGCAGCTATGGCCTGGAGACAGGAGGACCTGAGTTCAAATCTGGCCTCAGACACTTGACACTCACTAGCTGTGTGACCCTGGGCAAGTCACTTAACCCCGATTGCCTAGCCAAAAATAAATAAATAGATAGACAGATAGACAAATGCGTTTCCTTCCTTTCTCCCTGGAAATGCTGATGGGACAGAGCCTCCAACAGTATCGGGATCCTCCATTTATATTTGAGTTCAATACCACCCGACTGGAGAACTTTGATCAACACAGTGACTGCCCTGATTCTAGATGGTGGATGATGAAACATGCTACCCACCTCCTGACTCAGAGGAGGTGGACTCAGGGTGCAGAGTGAGACATCCATGAGTGATGGTGTCACTCTTCAGGAACATCACCTCCCCTGTCCTCCTGCAAGGGCATCCAAAGAATATACAAAATCAATGCAAGGTCATTTTGGAAGGGAAGGCACTAGTACCCCTGCAGGATTAAATAGCTGAGGGTTATATATGATGAGAAGCAACACTGTGTGCCTGACAACATTATCCCAGGGGTCTTTGCAAGATGGGTCATATGTCATTATGATCACTATCATTGACTATTGCTCAGATTGAAGGCTTTTCTACAGAGGTTTTCTTTTCTTAAAATTGTGCATTCATATCTTTTATTTTTACCTTACCATAATTTTCAAATATATCCCTCCTCCCTGACCCAGAGAGCCATCCCCTATAACAATGAATAAAGAAAGAGGAGAAGGAAACACCATAAAGCATTTTTAATCTTCTCAAGACCCTTTCCAGGACCTCACTTTATTTATTTAATTATTTATTGATCTAGTTATTCATTCATTCATTTATTCATTCCTTTATTCTTCCATCCATCCAACAAGCATTATTTATTTTCTTGTTTTTGTTTTTTGGTGAGGCAATTGGGGTTAAGTGACTGGCCCAGGGTCACACAGCTAGCAAGCATCAAGTGTCTGAGGCCGGATTTAAATGAACAAGCATTTATGAAGCATCTACTATATACAGGTATCCCTAACTGCTAGGGATACAGACACAAAAATGAAAACATTCTTGCCCTTAAGGGAGAGGAAACAAGCATTTGCTAAGTGCCTGCTATGGGCCAGGCACTGTGCTAAGTAAGCACTTTACAAATATCTCAGTTCATTCTTACACCACCCAGTGAGGCAAGTGCTGTTATTGTCTTTATTTTATAGTTGAGGAAACTGAGGCATACAGAATGTAAGGGACTTGCCCAGGATCACTCAGCTAGTAAGTGCCTGAGGTTTGATTTGAACTCAGGTCTTCCTGACTTCAGGCTCAATGTTCTCTCAACTGTTGCCTATTTGGGAACAAACAACATAGAAATGTAAATGCGAACTATGTACAAAGTAGATGTGGAGTAATTGGGGAGGAAGGATGGCCCTAGTAACTTACTTTGTTGTTCAGTCATTTGTCAGTGGTGTCATGATGCCAGTTGGAGTTTTCTTGGCAAAGATACTGGAGTGGTTTGCCATTTCCTTCTCCGGCTCATTTGACAGATCAGGAAACTGAGGCAAACAGGGTCAAGTGACTGGTCCAGGGTCACGCAGCTAGGAAACCTCTGAGGCTGGCTTTGAATTCAGGTCTATTTGACTCCAGGCCTGGCCCTCTATCCACTACACCACCTCGCTGCCAGTAACTTAGTAGTGGGATGTAATCTGGCTAAACTTCCTATAGGTGGTGGTGTTCACCTCACCACAGACAAAGGTGTTATCTCTGTTTGACCAATGAGGAAACCTCAGAGAGGGACAGATACATTCAACCCAGCGTGTGGTCAAAGCCATTTTCCTGAGAATAGGTCTGAGTGTAATTCCTCCACTTGGAAATCTTCTGCTGCTTTTCTCTGTCTACAGAATAAAATGCAACACCCCAAGCTTGATATTTAAGACCTTCTACAACCTAACTCCAAGCGACTTTTCTAAACACGTCCCACATCCCTGCCCTTCACAGTTCACCTGTACCCGTTACAATCCTTTCTTTCCTTTGAGATTCAGCTCAAGCCAACTTGGCTCCTCTCATCAATTCAATGATCCAAGGCGATTCCAAAGGAGCCGTGATGAAAAATACTATCCCTCTCCAGGGAGAGAACTGCTGAACACAGAGTGCAGGTATTGAAGCACTTTATTTTTTAACTTTATGTTTTTTTGCTTTTTGGTAAGAGTGTGTGTGTGTGTGTGTGTGTGTGTGTGTGTGTGTGTGTGTGTGTTTTGTTTTTTGCTTTTGGCAACATGGCTAATATGGAAATGTATTTTGCATGACTTTACATGTATAATTTATGTCATTTTGCTAGCCTACTAAATGGGTGGGGGAGGGGCAGAAGGCAGAGAGAGAATTTGGAATTCAAAAATAAAAAATAAATGTTAAAAAAAAGACACCTGAAGCACCGCTTTCTGTGTGAAGCTATGCCCGATTTCCCACCCTCACTCCCCAGTGCAAGTGTCTTCCCTTTCAAATTGACCTTGCATTGGTTTTATACATTTTTTGGAAATATTTGCCAGGGTAAAGGGGAATGGTCCTGAAGAGTAACACTGTCACTCGCGTACATCTCACTCAGCACCCTGAGTCTACCGCCTCTTAATATCAGGAGGTGGGTAGCATGTTTCATCGTGGGTCACCTGGTGTCGTGAGCTTGTCGCTGTTGATCAAAGCTCTCTAGTCCAGTGCTATTAAACTCAAATGGAAATGGATCCTTGGGGGAGGGGAGGAGCATATTAACTTAGAAAACCACAAATTCCCATTATCTATATTGTACTGTATTTTTATTTATTTTGTTGAACATTTCCTAATTATATTGCAATCTGGTTCAGGCTGCACTGGGGAGTGAGTCTGGCACCTCTGATAGGGTTTCAGATTTGTCTTTAGAGCCGGGGGTCACTGGATAAATTGTTTTCTTAGTTCCTCTCATTTCACTCTGCACTCATTCATGTATCACTTTATCCTTTTCAAAGCAGTTTCCCTTCTGCTATTTCATTTCATCTTTCCCAACATGTGGTGGTAGGGGGAAGGGAGGCAGTCATTATTACCCCGCTCTACAGCAGAAGGAACAGAAGCCCAGAGAATTAAAATGGCTGTCCAAGGTGGTACCTGAGGTGTGGCACAGCCAGGGCTGGAAGGCAGGTTCTCTGGTGCCCTCTTCAGCATTCAGTGTTCTAGACTATCGGCCTAATCAACGTCAAACCACCTGCTTGAAGAACCGAGCGAGGGCTTGCTTCTTAGGGTAAGGCTAGTCCCCCCATCACATATATGTGTGTGCATGTATGTGTTTGTATGCACGTATGTATGTATGTACATACACTGTTCCTGACATATGTCATGGCCACATGCCACTGCCACTCTAAGACCTCCACCTGCATGTACACTCCCCTCTCCTTGATGGGAAGAGAGGGGGCAGGGACAGCAGGTTACGTAGACTGTCAGGGCTTGAAGGGATTATAGGACATCATGATATTAAATGATGCTGAGGTGGGATTTAAAGGTAGGCTAAGTGTTGACAGCAACAATCACAGCTAACATTTATATAGCACTTAGTATGTGCCAGGCCCTGTGCTCTATCCCATAGATCCAGAGCTGGAAAGGACCTTTGGGATCATCTATTCTAACCTCCCTCATTTTATAGGTGCTGAGACCAAGGCCCAAAGAGGGGAACTGATATGTTCAAAGTCTCATACGTGTTAAACGGCAGGATTAGAACTCAGGTCGTCTAACTCCAAATCCTGAATTTTGTATACAGCATTAGATTGGAATCTCGGTGAAGTAGGTGTTATTATCCCCACTTTGCAGATATGGAGACTGAGGCTCAGAGAACAAACGTAGCCTGCTCTGGTCACATAGCTTAGAGGTGCTAGAGGTAGGATGTAAGGAAGCCCAGGTTTTCCTAGAAAATAAGACTCTGGGGGGCAGCTAGTTGGCGCAGTGGATAGAGCTCCAGCCTTGGGGTCAGGAGGACCTGAGTTCGAATCCAGCCTCAGACACGTAACACTTATTAGCTGTATGACCCTGGGCAAGTCACTTAAACCCCACTGCCTAGCCAAAAAGAAAGGGAAAAGAAAAAAAAAGAAAAATAGACTCTGGCAATTGGAAGAGACCTTGAGATCATTTCATCCCAGCCCTCCTTTTTAAAAGGGAAAAGTGAGGCCCAGAGAAGGAAGTGAATTAGTTGCCTCTGCTCGCACAGGGCATCAGGGCAGAGGTGGGATTTCAATCAAGGTCTTCTTGCCTTGGGTGCACTAGTCCATCTACTACATTTAGCTATTAGAACACACCTTAAAGCAGACTGTAGGAGAAAGAAGGGACCTGGAAGTCACGGAATCCTACCCTTTTCTTTCACACATGGGGGAAGTGGAGGCCCAGAGAGACAGTGACTAAACAGATGTCACACAGCAAGGTAGCATCACAATCCATGTCTTTGGGCCAACCGGAAGAATATAAATTCAAGCATAATTGGCCATTGTCTTGTTCCCTCTATGCACAGAAAGGGATTTATTTTTTCTAGGATAGCTTTCTTTTTTAAAAAATTATTTATTTTATTTTTAATTTGTAAAATAAAACAAACATTTCCATAACATAGAATAAAAAAGATAGCACATGAAACTGCAAATTATTATGTACAACTTGCTATTCCTTTTAAATATGTTATCGTGTACATTTCTTTTTCCTTTTTTCTTCACTCCTCCCTCCCTAGAGATGGCTACCATTAGACACAAATATGTACATATACACATACAAGTGCATGTGTGTACATATGTATACACACATTTCTTTTATCAGTTCTTTCTCTGGGTGCAGATAGCATCTTCCTTCATATGTCCTTTGTAATTTGGGTATTTATAATAATATGACTTAGTCACTCAAAGTTGTTCTTAAAAATAATATTGCTGTTACTGTTTATATATCATATGTCTATATGTATGTGTGTGTATTTATATAAGATATATTATATATATATAAATAAATATATACACTTTTTTCGTTGCTTAGGATTTAAATTGTAACACCAACCCTGCCCCCCATCCCTTTTCTGGCCACAGTAGTATGCCATAAGTACACTCAAGCATTCCAAGGAGCAGCAACCCAATTCTGAGATATGATTACGTTAAAGCAAAGAACTCAGACTCACAAATATTAAGCCTCAAATTAGCACACATGGAAGGGAAGGAGACTCCTCTGCCAATTTGATTAGTGTTAAGCTCAGCAGTCCCAAGTTCCACAGTGAACGGAGTGATTAGAGGGATCTGTTTATTTCAGCATTTCCACCCACCCACCCAGGTGCCTTCTGGAAAGCAGGCCACAGCCTTGACTTCTCCCTCTGGCAAGGAACAAATCCATTTGCAGACTGGGTCAGATTGTCCACACAGCTTAATCTGACTGTCCTCACCCTGAAATCAAGAAGCCATCCATCACGATATGTGTTCGAAATAGGAATCAGTCAACCAATCAATTAAATAATCTAGCTTTTATTAAGTGCCTACTATTGTTGAGGTTAAGGGTCACAGGACCCCAAAACAGCCACACACAGGTCCTGCCCAAATGAATGTGACCCAAACCTTCTTTCAGCCAAAGACAAAGTTTATTAAAACACTGATAGAGGGTGGGCATGAGTCTAACAATCGGCCATATTGGCCACTCTTAAAGAATCTAACCATTGGGGCAGCTAGGTGGCGCAACGGATACAGCAACGGCCCTGAAGTCAGGAGGACCTGAGTTCAAATGCGACCTCAGATCAAACACTTTACACTTACTAGCTGTGTGACCCTGGACAAGTCACTTAACCCCAATTGCCTAAAAAAAGAAAGAAAGAAAGAAATCTAACCATTGGCTAGATACTTAAGGAATCTGAGGACCTTAATGGAGGCAAGATGGATCTTATATACAGAAAGACTGTGGGAGGAATCTAGGAGCAGTCAAGAAGCTTGGGGTGCCTAGGAGAAGGGGTCTAGGGAGGATATTGATGGGATTGGCCAGTAGGCTGGAGTGACTGGGAGGAAGAATGGGGTCTAGATAGGATGAAAGTTAGGAAGTAGCCAGGGGCGGTTGGGAGGTAACTGAGAATTGGGAGATTGGGCATAGGCCACAATGAAAGAGCTGTAGAGAGGATTATAGCCTCAGGTTAATACCTGAGACTTGACCTTGTGGGAAAATCCAGGTCCAGATCCCAAAAGACATGGTCTTTTCCTTTCAGGGGTTCAGATTCCATCCCCAATCATTAAGTGCTGGGGAAACTTATGAAAGTGAGACAGTCTCTGCCCTCAAGAAACTTACAGCTTTGGGTGGGTGGGAGGGTAGCCATCAAGGTCACAGATAAGTAAACCCAGGATACATACAAAATAAAGGTAAAGCACGGGAGGGAGGGCTGGAGCAGATAAACATTGGATAGTAAAGAGAGGCAAATTCTAGTTCTATACAAGGGAGAATTTTCTAACAATTAGAAATGACCAGCCCTTAATTACCCCCACCATCTACCTTCCCCACAGGCATTCATGCACACTGACTTAGTCCACAAAAATGTTATCTAATTACTACTGGGCCCTTATTGAAGCAAAACAATCTTTTTTGCTCTACCCTAATTGACTACCAGGGCAGCATATTTGGTGCAAAGGATAGAGTGCTTGGCCTGGAGTCAGGAAAACCTGAGTTCAAATTTGACCTCAGACACTTACTAGCTGTATGACCCTGAGCAAGTCACTTCACCCTGTTTACCTCGGATTCTTCATCTGTAAAATGAACTGGAAAAGGAAATGGCAAAGCACTCCAGTATCTTTGCCAAGAAAATCCCTGGTCATGTCAGGAACAGTCAGACACCACCAAACAAGTTAAAGTGACAACCACTCTTCCCAAACTGACTCTTCTGAATGTTCACTTCTCTCCTCAAGCCACCACACCACCCCTGGCTCTGCCTGCTGAGAGAACCTGACTCATACTTTATTTATTTTTTTGTGAGGCAATGGGGTTAAGTGACTTGTCCAGGGTCACACAGCTAGTAAGTGTTGAGTGTCTGAGGCTGTATTTGAACTCAGGTCTTCCTGACTTCAGGGCCAGTGCTCTATCTACTGTCCCACCTTGACTCATGCTTTACTGAGGCAACGGAGGCCACCCGCTACCAGCTCCTTCTCTCTTCCTTTGTCCCAGTCTCTGAAGAAGAGTGGAAGGACTCCGAGTCCTTCACCTCATCCCTTCCATGCCCTCCAGCATCTTGTTCCTTTTGTAATGTCCCATGTCTCTCTCTAATCTTCAATCTCCCCCTTCCTCTCTTCCCGGAGACATGCCCAGGTACAGCCCCTTAATAAGCCCTCCAGTAACCCTAGCATCCTCTGGAGCCATGATAACCTTTTCTTAGTTCTCTACCTTTGACCTTTCTACAATTTTTGACACAGCTGACAACTCTGGTAACTTCAGCTAGGCTTTCTCTGATTGGCTGACCACAGGTGCTTTATCTTAGCTTAAAAAGCCTTTTAAAAGAACTTCAGGGACGTCAATTTCCATTTACCCAACCCAGAGATGGTCCTTAAATTGATGGTCATTGACTCTCAAAACTGCAAGAGACATAATTTCGGAATGTCATAACTGGAAGGCGCCCTCATGGTCCTCATTTTACACAAGAGGAAACTGAGGAAGCTCCCAGAATGCAGGATGGAGCAATAGAAAGAGTAACAGATTTGGCACCAGAGGACCAAGGATTGAAATCTGCCTCGGACACTTACTTTTTACTGTGATCTTGGGCAAATCAGCTAATCTCCCGGAGCCTTATTTTTAATTGTAAATTAAGGTATTGGGCTAAATGACCTCCGAGTTTCCTTCTACCTTAAGATCTGGGATCCTCAGATCCAAGGAGATAAGAAGCCATTTGCATTATCACGTGCTCAACAGGAGTCTCTAGGTAAACCTAGGTTAAAGTGTGAACTTGGACAAATTACATCTTTGGGGAGCCAGGTCGCATCTTTTATCAAATGAAGAGGCTGGACTAAGTTCAATGATCCTAAAATCCTAAATAAACCTCCCAGGCATCCTAGAAAGAAATTAGAAAGGTGGGGGGGGGGGTGGCAGTGGGAAGTAAGGGCTTTGTGGGCAGGGCCCTACAATGAAGGTTGGGTGAATTTGTATTTTATCTTGAGTCTTTGGTGAGGGGGTGCTTTCTAGCCTCCTGAAGCCTGGGGGTGGGGTGCCAACTGGCACTCTGGGCTAACATTCTTGGTTATCTTCTTAATCAAGGTACTCAACACCAATTCTGCACTGTGAACTGCATTCCCAGGACCTCTGGGGCAGTTGCAGCTATAATCTGTTGGGACAAAGGTCATCTGTGACTTCTCCAGGCTAAAGGAAGGATGGAAAGTTGTGGCTCCAGGAATCCAGTTTGCATTGTCTTGTTCCATCAGTGTTCTTCCTCACTGACCAAGACTCAACTTCCCCCTACCCCACCCCCCAGCACTTTCTCCCCTTTTTCCAGGGTGTAGCTCTGTGGTATATCTATGCTTAATAATGTTTGGTAACAATGGCAGATATATACAAGATGAAGAGATAAAGCAAATCAGCAGATAAAAAAGTAGGGTGTCAGCTAGGAGGGACCTTAGATCATAGAACTTGGAATATCAGATAGGAGAAACCCAAGAATAGGTCAGAACCTGCATGGTTCTCAGAACACAGGAGACAGAATATCAGAGTGGGAGGGAGTTTTCTAGAGCCTTCTGTTACAGATATTGGAGCTCCTCTTATCTCCCCTACCAAGCCGTATACTTTTGTACAACTTCTTGACTCCTACAGTAGGGAACTCAAGACTTATCTTTTGAAAGAGATCTGGGCTCTGAAACCTTTTTGCCATGACTTTGCCCTGTGACACCTGCCTAGTCTTTTCCCCACCCTGGGCCTCAACTCACAGTTATATTAAGCACTCTTACTTAATTAAGGAACACTGCTAGCAGTTGGTGATATAAAGACAAATATGAAAGTCCCTGCCATTTTGGAGCTTACTTTCTACTGGGATGCTTACATGTAGAAGTAAATAGGTGGGGATTTGAGGAGGGACAGAGCAGCACAAACAAATGGGAAGCCTGGGGGACCTAGAAAGGCTTCACTTAGGAAGCGCCAAAGCTGAGGTTTAGAGCTAAGGATTCTAAGGGGTGGAAGTCAGAAAGGACTCTATTCTAGTCCTTGTGAGGCAGACCCAGCAAAGGAAACAGCTAACAGCAGAGCTTGGGGACATAGCCGGAAGGGAGGGGAGTAAGGTGACATAAAACCGGGAAAAGGAGGTAAAAACCAAAATTTGGACGAGCTTTAAATACCTCAAGTTTCCTTATCAGTTAAAAGAAGTAGATTCCTTCAGACTCTAACAGTAAGTCTGTTTTTTAGGTACCATTTATTCTCTAAGTAGAGGGAGACAGACAAAGGAGATCTGAGGAAGACAGTGCTGGATTTAAAGTATACTGAGCCTAGTTTTCCAACAGGATATTAGAACTCCCCTACCTTGGGGAGGCAAGCACGGTACAGTGGAAAAATACCATCTTGCTAGTGAAAAGACACAGGCTCAAAACCCACCTCTGTCGTTTACTACTTCTTTGATCTTGGCAAGTTGTGTAATCTCCCTGGGCTTCAATTTCCTCAAGTGAAAAAAAGAGAGTTGGATCAGACAGCCCCTGAGGTCCGGGCCAGCTCTAGAGGCCCCAGGGTCTTGGTGAGGTGGCAGCGGTGCGGGCACTTTTTCTCCTTTTGGACAACGAATCTGCATGCCCTGAGTATCCACTCCACCATCAACTGCAGCAGAAGGGAGAAAAGGGGACATGAGGGAACTGGCCTAGGATTAACAGTTAAAAATTGAGTGGATGTTGGGCACCGGCTTTTCTCGGAGTACCAGCCAAAGTGTAGGTGTGCACAAGGGCGTTTCTGCGCCTAGGTCGATCCCAATCGGAGGGGGCCCTAGTTTCACCCCTACGCCCACCCCCAGACGAAGGGATAAGGAAGGGGGTGTCTTTAGCTGGGGTGTCTCTAGGGGTGCGGTAGGGAGAGGGGGGGCCCTAGATTTCATTTCCTGTGGGCTTGGTACTAGTGGGATGTCCACATCCCTTTGAGGAGCTCCTGTCTACATCGAGGCCTCTTTGTGCCATAAAGGCGTGTTCGAAGGTCGGTCTCGTCGCGTGAGAGCGCGTGGAAGCCCGGGCGCTGTCCCTGGACGGACGTACCCAAGTCCGGTCCCTAAGGCCAGCCCACCCCGGCCCCACTGCCAGTCCCGAAGGATAGGCGGGCCCCCTCCCGCCCCGCCCCTTCCCGACTCCCATGACTCCCCACTTCCCCCCTCTCCCCCTCACCCCCCACTCCGCCCCGTCCCGGCCCGCCCCGGGCCCCGCCCAGCCGCGCCGGGCCGCCTCTCCGCGGACATGTGGGACGGCGCGGAGCCCGCGCGTGCGCCGTGTCCCCTGACCCATTGTTGGGCTGGGGGGTGACGTCACGGGCTCCCGGGAAAGGCGGGGCGGGGGGGGCAGCCGGAGGAGGAGGAGGTGGAGGAGGAGGGAGCTTCCAGCCGCCGCCGCCGCCGCGCTGCCCACCGCCCTGCCCACCGCCCTGCCCACCGCCGCAGCCCCCGCGACCACCGCCACTTCCCGCCCCCGGCAGCCGCAGCCCCGCGTAGCCGCCGCCGCGACGAGCCCCAGCCCCAGCCCCAGCCCGGAGCGAGCCCGCCAGGCAGCGGCCGCGGCGGCGTCGGCGGCGTCGGCAGCAGCGGCCGCGGTAGCGTCGGCGGCGTCGTCGTCGGCAGCAGCAGCAGCAGCGGCGGCCGCGGCCGCGGGCGCAGCTGAGCCTCCTGCCGCTCCCCCGGCCCCCTTCTTCCCCCCGCTGCTGCTGAATGCAGGCGGCCGGCTGGAGAGGAGACAAAGGAGGAGGAGGAGGAGGCGGGGGGCGGCGGCAGGAGGAGCAGGAGGAGGAGGAGGGGGCGGCGGCGGCAGCGGAGGAGGAGGAGGGGGCGGCGGCGGCGGCGGCGGTGGAGGAGGAGCAGCAGCAGCAGCAGCAGCAGCAGCAGCAGCCCGGGGAGCGGTGGCAGCGGCGGCAGCAGCAGCTGCAGCGGCCGCAGCGGCGGCGAGGATCGGAGCCCCGAGCCCTGCCCGGGCCGCTGGCCGCCTGCCCCCCGAGGGCCCGGCTCCCGCTGCTGCAGCAGCATTGGCAGCAGCAGGAGCGGCAGCGGCAGCGGCAGCAGCAGCAGCTCCGGGGCTAGCGAAGCCCGGGTCCCCGCCGCCCTCCCCGCGCCCGGCCATGCCCAGCTCCATCTACCAGCCCGAGGGAGGGGAGGCTGCGGCGGCGGCGGCGGCGGCGGCCGCTGCGGCGGGACCACCCCACGGCGGCGGCCTGGGGATGCTGAGCCCCGGCCCCGGACAGCAACAGCAGCAGCAGCAGCCCCCCGCGCCCCCGCCGCCGCCCCCGCCCACCCCGCCGCCTCCCCCGCCACCCCCGCTCCCGGACCAGGGCTCGGAAGGGGCAGCCCCACCAGAGCAAGAGGAGGCGGCCGCCGCCGCCCTGAGGTTCGCCCTGGATCAGCTCTCCATCTTGGGGTTGGAAGAAGAGGAGGACGACGAGGAAGAGGAAGGGGAGGAAGAAGGCGGGGTGAACGGCGAGGCCTGCGCCGAGGAGGAAGAGGAGGAGGAGGAGGACGATGAGGAGGAAGAAGACGAGGCAGCCGACGGTGCCCTGGAAGACCTGGACCCCGCTACCGGGCCCGGGCTGGACGCCCCCGGAGGGGTGGCTGTCGGGGCGGGGGCCGTGCTGGGAGCCCTGCAGATGCTGGACACGGATGTGAGCCCCCCGACCTCCAACACCACATCCCCACCAGATGTGTTCAGCAACTTCCACCACCACCCTCACCTGAGCCACCACTCCATCCTGGCAGAGCAGATGAGCGTGATTGGCAGCCGGAAGAAGAGTGTCAACATGACCGAGTGTGTCCCCGTGCCCAGCTCAGAGCACGTCGCTGAGATTGTGGGGAGACAAGGTAAACTCCCTCCCTGGCCTTGGTCGGTGCCCTCTTCCCCTCCCCCCAGCGGCGCCAGGGATCCCTTTATCCAGAAAGTGACACTAGCAAAAGTGGCTTGACCGCCCCTAGCGTGTAAGTTCCTCGTGCTACCACACTGACACTCCCTGTAGAATCGGGGGCATGGGAATGACAGGGGACAGAACGCTTAGGAGGGCCCACGGCAGCCCCTTAGCACTGGAGTTTGGGGTCAGCATGTGGCTCTAGGCCTTAGCGATCTTGACATGACATGAACTCCGATGTAGGACAGAAGATCTGGGCTCTCCGAGAGAGATGTGCATCCCCCCCCCCTTCTGTATCTGGGTCACTCTTGTCCCCTTTGTGCAGTGCCTGGAGAGTTTAACTTGGCAGAAGCCCTACTCTCACCCTGCCAGCCTTGATCCTCCCCCCACCCCATCCCCCATCCTTGGCCCTGGCTGCCCTCCACCTTTTGTCTGCTGCCTGGGCTTGGTGGTCCCAGCTGGGGGACCTTGCCTCTAGCTAAAGTTTGAGATCATGTTAGTGATCTGGAGAATGGGAGAGAATCCCAGGGGATGAGTGGGAGAGGAAAGGCAGGTTTTGTTCGGTTTGGGCCCTGAGGCCTTTTCTTTTTCAACAGATCCCTCTCCCCCCCCTTGTAAACCCGGTTCTGTCAAAAACCTGATTGAAATGGGGGGAGGGGGATGTCACCGCCTGCTTTGCAGAGGATCAGTCACAAAGACCCCATGTATCTCAGCAGCCAGGGATGCTACTGGGATAATGAGGGTGTGTTGGAGGCATAGGGGGCATTGATGTTTTTGAAGAGATCTTTGAACCCTTACATGCCTATTTGATATTCCAGTTGGGGTTGTATGTGGTGCCAGATGTATTGATCTGATAAGCTGGTGGGGATCTGGAGTGCGGTGCCTTCACCTACCCCCCATCCCCAGCCTGCTTTGGATTGTCCCTGCTGAGGTAGAAGAGGGGGGTGGTCTCCATTCTATCCCGGGCTGGAAGGCTGGGGCCGGCTCTATTGTCGGAGGGGCCTGGGTGGCTGGCTGCCCTATTGTTCCCTTTGTTAGAGGACCATGCTGCGATTAGCATGGTGACATCAGGCCCAAGGCTTCCCATTGGTGGCTGGGCTGCCCTGAGCCAGCCCACTTCCCCCCCTCCCCACTCCTTCCTAGCTCCACTGAGCCCTGGCCCAGCCCAGCCCAGCTTGGGTGCTGGTCTCAACTTTCTCTCCCCCCCTTCCCATCCCCCCCTCCCCACTCACACCGTCTCCCCCTGCCCCTTCCCTTGCCTAGCCTAACTCTTTCTTTGTGACTTGTGGGGGGTAGTGGGGGGGGGGAGGCTGTTTTGGAACCAGGGTGGGGCCAAGCTGGCAGCATTGGACTTGGAAAGACTGCCTGAGTCCCTCTCTGCCCTCCATTGTGGCATACCAGGTCTGGGATAGAACTCCTGAGGTCAAGCTGGCCCCAGAGTGACAGTAACCTTGGTTTCTATCTAGTTTGTCAGCTCATTATCTCCATGGTGAGAACAGACTTAATGCTGTGTGGCTGATGAGGAAACTGAGTCCCATATGGGATTATAGGATGGTAGAGCCTTTAATGATCATTCAGTCCAGCTCCCTCATTTGACACGTGGGGAAACTGAGGCCAAGAGAGATGAAATGATGCCTAAAGTAAGTGATGGAGTCCGGATTTGAACTCAGGTTCTCTGCTTTTCCTAGTCTAGAATCTTTTTTTTTTGTCTAGCTGGTATTGGCTCAGTTTGGCTTCTTTTCTCCTTGAACCATTTGCTCCCAATGTGCCAGAGTGGGCTGGACTTGGGGTCAGGTCCCCCCTCAGGAGCTCACTGTGGGCTGGCGGTTGGGCAAGTTGATTATCCTCCTTCTGGCTGAGTTGCCTGTGACATCTGGCTAAGAATAGGACCTACCTCCCCAGGTCGTTGTGAGCCTTATGTGGGATCGTGAATGGAGATGGTTTTGCAGATCCCCCTGGGATCTGGTTCTCTGGATCCCCTCACCACCAGCTGCTAGTGCTACAGCCGGCTGCAGTTAAGGCTAGCTGTTGCTGGTCTGGATTTAGGAAGCCCCGAGCTCAGAGAGATGTCTTGGCCAAGGTCACTGGGCAAGTGTGGCGGCAGGTGGAGGAAGGCACTCCTGTCTGTGGAGTGACTCTCGTAGCTTCCCTGCCCTCGGCTCCTGAGTGGTCGGGGCCCCACCCTGTCGGGCGTAGGGGAGTCACCTGGCATGGAGCTCGTTGGAGGGATCAGGGCTGAGCAGCAGGAGCCTTGGATGGGGGCCACTGGGCCTCCCTCAGGACCCCTGGAAGCTGGGTATCCAGGCCCTTTCCCAGTCAAAGGCTCCCTGATCCCGAGGTGGAAGGGACCCAGAGGCCAAGGTCACCCAGGTCATAGGCATCAGCAAAGGTTGAACCGAGTCAGCAGGTGAACTCAAGCCCAAGACAACTCATAGCCATTCCTAACGACTCTCCAAATGACCTTGGGCAAATCACTTTTCATTGAGGCCTCAGTTTCTCTGTCTATCTTGGGGATTTGTCCAAGGTCACTTGAGTCCTGGTAAATCTGGGAGCACCCTGGAAGGCCTGAGTTCTTTCCATACCTTGGCCTCTAGTCTAAAGGTCTCTGGTGATCGACATCCCTGTAGTAGCTGAAGCCTAGATTTATATTAACTCCGCCCCCCCCCAACCAAACGCGGAGCTTTGTGTTCCTGCCTTCCTCCTTGACTGTCACTTCTCAGGTTAGGCAGACTTGTGGCTCCCACTTGAAGCAAAAGCAAACTTACTCTGTGAAAATCTGGGTTTTACACAAAAGGTCCATCCCCCCATCTGTAGTGCTTTACTTTCTGCATAGCCCTAGGGGATCCAGGGAGGATAATGCAAGGATTATTAACCCTATTTTATGTTGAGAAAACTGGGGCTGCAGCTGCGAAAAGTCAGTAAATGACCTCAGGCCGGATTAGAACACAGGTCTGATGCTGAGTCCAGGGCTCTGTCCTGTTGGCAAGATTGACCTGGAGGATTCCCTAAATAAAAGCATCCTTCTCTGTTGAACGAATCCCCACAGGTGCCCCAGGAATGGCCGGCCCCTCTCAGATGCATCACAAAGCAGGCACGATTTATAATAAATTTGTCAGTCAGGCATTTATTAATCCTCTTTCCAGGCGAGATTTGGAGAAACACTTCTGTTGGGAAAGCAGAATAATGAGCTTAGAAAGTCTGCTCCCCAGGGATCCCAATCCTGAGGAAATTCCTGGGAAGGGTGAAGCCACCTCTCTCCCTGGGAAGCTGGGGTTCACACCTGGGCATTATAGGTAGCGAGAAAGGGTGGTTGGCCAGCGAGGGTCCCAGAATGGATTAGGGTTATAGTCTAGGGTAGAGGTGGGGAATTTAGTCAAAGGGCCACACTTGAGGACCTCGAGGTGGCAGGTTCCCCACCCCTGATCTGAGGGGATGCTCTTCCCACTCAAACCGGGAAGATCTCTTCCAGAAGGAAAGCCATAGGTCTAGGTAAGGTCAGGATGTGGGTAGTGTAAATGGGCTAGGGGTTTGGATTCCCTCTTCCCAAACTCCATTCCCTCCCCCACCAGCCTGACTCCAGACTTGGGCCACACCCCTGGGGGCCAGTCTTGCCCTCAGGGGACAGCATGGCATAGCAGAAGCTCACATTTAGAAAGCGGGGGTGGGGTTCTAGGCCTGTCTATTCTACCAGCTCACTGCATGGTCTTTGGTAAAATCACTTTTCTTCCGGAGCCTTGGTTTCCTTATCTGTAAAGTGCAACTGACTTTAGCCCCAGGCAAAGGGTGTTCATCTGTAAGAGGTGGATAATGGCAGCAGCTGCCCCACAGGGGGCTTGTGGGCATCCTTTGCAAACCTTAAAATCCTGTATAAATGTGAGGTGCAGTCACTGCAAAGGCCCGAGTGCAGGGGGGAGGGGGAGCGGGAGCAGGGGGCTCCCTGGCCTTAGGGGTTGGTGTTCTAGCCTGGGGAAAGCTGCAGGGAGAATGTGCCACCCACAGGAGTAAGAGACTCAACTCAGTCCTTTGTTCTCCTCCACTACTTTGAACTTCCCCAGTCCTCTCCTGGCCTGGAATGCCCTCTGTCATACCCTCCCACCTCTGCCTTTGGAAATCCTTGGGTCCCTTTAAGGCCTAGCTCAGCTCCCTCAGGAGTGACAACCATCTGAAGGATGGTGGGGAGTCAGAGAAGTCTTCCTGGAAGAGGTGGCATTTGGTTTTTGGGGGGGGGTTTGCTAGGCATTGGGGTCAAGTGACTTGCCCAGGGTCACACAGTAAATATCAAGTGTCTGAGGCTGTATTTGAACTCACGTCATCCTGACTCCAGGGCCGGTGCTCTATCCACTGTGCCACCTGCCCGCCCCAAGAGGTGGCAGTTGAGCTGGGCCCTGAAGACTGGAGCTTGTTTTATTTCTGTTTGGAAGAGAACAAACATTTATTAAGCATCTACTGTGTTCCAGGCACTGTACTATAAGCATTTTACAGATGTCTCAGTTGATAATTAGCAGAGAGGTGGAATTTAAGGACTTGGGGAGGCCAGGCCTCTGA